GTGAAGCTCTCCTTCCAGTGAAAAGTCCATAAGTCGGTTGCGTATCTTGTTTTCTCTGCTTTTCAGGCGCTTGAGGTAACTATAGTCACTTCCTACAGAGTGTAATGCAAACTATCTCAAACCACCGATCAAATTCAGCATCAGCACATGCCTCATTGCTAGGTAATGGAGATACGCGATCTGCGATTTTTAATAAGTAGCGAGAGCATCGATACTCTTCCTTCATCTCCTTCCGTTGTGACCGACGACAGAAAAGACAGTTTAGAAAGAACACAAACAGACTAGAGATCTAGATACACGAGTTCAATCTTACCTTCGCTTAGTGCAGGGAATCACCCAATCCAGACTCCGCGAAACGCAATTGAAGTGTTTGCTATAGGTTTTTTCAGCGCTTCGTACTGCTCTGTAATTGTTACGTACTTATATTGAAGTCTCGCAAAAGAGATCTTGAGGGTAGGAGTGAGATCGGCTACTAAAACCAGACAGCTACCAAATCTTCCCAGCGCTGTGAGTGCCTTAATTGCAAATGCTTCCGGATATTATCGTCTCTAAGCGACTTGTGGTAAACGTGCACACGGCTCGGCCTCTTGCGCGTTTTCTTCGTGCTAAGAATGTAATCAGAGCTAAGCAAACGATTGGTATCTGCCCTAGGCTCACGTTCATATGCTGCACAAATTTTGCAACTCGCTTCCCCACCAATATTATCTCGCGTCTTCACCCCTGGGCGTTGATTAAATAATGTATCGTAATTAAAGAACCACTTGCATCGACTTCCTTTTTCTTTTCCTTCTTTGCAGCGTAGCCATCCGGCCTGTCGATGACATCTCTCGCTGATGTGGTGTAGTGAGATCATCAAAATCTGCGGGATTGCAAGATCCAACTTACCAACAGTGCCCAGACACCGACTAACCGAGAGAGTCCCCCGATGATCCGAGATCTACTAAGCTTTCCTCACCTTGTGTATCCGTCGGTAGGGCGGGATCTTGCTCTCTCGGTAACTTTCGAAGAGTTCAAGTGGTGAAGCTTGAGTGTTTGGCGAGGCGTGGGGGTGTGGTGGAGCAGTAGAGGCTAGATCTTCACTCTGCGTCCGTAGTTGTTTCTGATTCCCAAGCGAATATTCGAGCTTGGTGGATCCAGGGCCTAGATCTGGGATATGGCCGTAGGGTTGCCTTGCGGGTGTGTTCCCTTGCCTTTGCGTTCCTTTGCGTCGTACTTGCCGCTTCCTATAGCGGGATCTTGAGAGTTGAGAGCCTCTTAGGTTTACCCGGCCAAGTAGTAATCCGGTTAGCCTTTCGGGTCTGCACGTGTAAAGAAAAGCTCACTAGGTGGTAGTATTTGGCCAATATATTATCCAGTTATCACTACCAACACTAGATTGCAATTCCTAACCTTCACCGAGCTCGTCGGCCAAGTTATTTCCGATTCTTGAGGGCAGGAAGACACTTGCGTAACACTGTGCAAATTGAATTCTTATTCATAGTTAAAAAGCCTTTACCTGTCTGGATACCTTTTTAACTGCTAAATCCCCTACCAAGCTCGGCTTCCTGCCCTTTCTCTCCTTGGTCCATCACCCCAGCTGTATCAGCATCAGATCCGCCTAATCCATGGCGCAATCATCGCAAGGTCAGGTATACTGTTCCGGATACAAGCCACTTTAGCCCTCCTTACTGCAAGCGTACTCTTCATCGTGGATCTGAGCCCTCCAATCATCCAACACCACATTACGAATGTCGGTTATCTCCATCGCTCCACGAAAGTTCGATATCCGTTGGATCCACCACCCCTATACCATAGATCCAAGTCACTCGGTGTGAAATCCTCAAACCCTTGAATCCGGACCACGTCACCTACCTCATCTAGAAGTTCAGAGTGATAGTCTCGACCTTCGATCCACTTTACCTCAGCCTAATCCACTTAGTGCAGTACGGATCTACGTCGAGAAATCTGGATCCACCCTAACCACCGGGCGTCGTCACTAATCTGTGATAATGACTCCTTGTCAGATCCCATCTCTCATTTTTAAGAAAGCACTTTACCACACTGACGAACCTTCTACCATCCGCCGAGGTCTGCCAGACTGTTTAGATATCGCTCTTTTTAAATGTGAGCGATAAGAAATACCACAAGACATGTTGGTTTCGCAGCTGCCGTCATTCTAAGGTCACAAAGAGGAGTTACTCCAGAGCTTCTGATTCGTCGAACTGAGTGTGTCCATCCACTGCAGCGAGGATTAAGTAAAATCTAGAGTTAGGCATCTCGCCTTAATATGTAAAAAAAAACCTAGCCAGAATTTCCGATGTCTTGACGCAGCGACATTTGGCTGGTAGAATTCCCAGGTCTACATTGTCGCAAAACACCACCACCTCAAAGAGCGCTAAAAGATTCACTACAGTGCTGCATGAACGACGTGGGATTGCTTTAACTGAGCTCGAATATCGAGGATGCGCACATCGAATTTCGCAAGAACGTGGAGCGGTGCTGGAGTGCTATCAAATATGACCTGGCGATTAAGGTGCCGCACGTGGTGATTATCCGGAGCTCTGAATTTGGTAAAAGCCACTAGCTATGGGAACTGTCGTTGCTTGCAAGTGCAGAGAGAACACGAGCAATGTGAGTGCTGTACACCTGCGCAAACAGGCTGTTTCCGAGTACACAAATCAGAAACACGAGTACGTGTATCCTAGAAGGACGACCACGTAGACGGCCCCTGTACCGTGGATAGGCTCTCCGACAAGTGGAACACGAGCCGTACGTGCTACGGAATACCGCTGAAGCATCTACGCACAACATACGCGCCTCTTTAAGATCATGTAAACTCCATCGCGAAATCCGTCGTCGACAAGCAGGAGATCACCCGCGACGAGGATTAGTTGCTGAGCGATGGAGCGTCGTCTGAATAACTGATTGAGGCTGCCCCTCCACTGCGAGATGGCGTGTCAGGGAACGAGAGACGCAGTCATCCGATGTCTTCCGTAGTGGCATGTGATGACGGATGTGAGATTTTAACTTGAACTCGCCCACAGTCGACGTCTCGCCGTGGTGGACTACGAGTCGTCAACTTCGAGGACATCGGTGTTGAAACCCTGGCAAGCGTTGACTGACCGAGTCGTTGCTAGCCCCGGTTAGTAGCGGAGCCAGGTCTGAAATCTGAGAGGAGGGGTGGTGGTGGTGGGGAGGGGGGGGGGGCACAGCTAAACAATTCGGATTTATCGGCAATAATTTAGGGGGGGGGGGCGTTTTTGATGAAGATCCGCCTTGCCCATGGGAGATCGTGCCTTCGACTAGGAGCACCGTCTGGAGTGCTTTTCGCCTCCACCAGCATATAGTAGCACCCCTTTATGTTGGTGGCGATGCTGGTGATTAGTTCCCGCGAATCGAGTTGGCGTCCCATGTTGCGGAGTTTGTGTCCGTCGATATATAATAGAACGAAACGAGAGCGCTTATGGAAACAAGATGAAGGCGATACGTCGTGTCTGCTTCGACGGGGACCGAGCTAGTAGCTAGTACGCTAAGTAGTTGACGCTGCGAGAGGCTGCGGCTGTGCAGATGAAGTATTTACAGTTGCTGATGCCTCTTGGCGGTATATATCGGCCTGTTGAAGGCTCGCACACACATGACCTGAGTTTGTTCTGTTTGCAAGGCAATATAAAACGCAGTGATGATCTCGTGTATTATAAATGCATGGTCCAATTTCCCCGAATGGCCGGTTGCGGTAGAATGAATTAGCATTTTCCAGTATCGTATCAAGTACGTGATTAAGCAATGATAAATATACGCTTAAGTAAGACATAGAAGCGCAGCAGCTAGCTTCGCGCTCTCTAGCTGTTCTCCTTCTCTTCGCTGGACGTGTCATACAAGCTGCGAATGATCCAAGCGCGCGAGGACCAGTGTTGTCCTTAACGACTCGATGCCTCGTATACAGGTTATGATTCGAGCTGACCGTCCTAAGGGTTCGTTTGGACACTTTTGTGGAGGTGCATTTTCTTTTCCTTACACGCTAGTACAAGCTGACATTGCGTGGAAGATATAATTCTTTTTATATGCAGGACCTTTGTCAAAATAAATGATTCTTCGTGCTTTGGAGCATGTTACCCAGATGCATACTGGATGAAGCATGGCACAGTGAAACGAATAAGTGTTTCGCACTCAATATTCTTCCAAGGAGAAGAAGTCGTGAAGAAACGAGCGACTCGATGAGCTCTCTGCTCTTCCTTTGGTCATGGCGTCTAATTGTGCTACCGGTTTATGCTGATAAGGTACTGCAAGGCCAAAAACGGCAACATTAGCAAGGGTGACACCGTGGGTACTTGACTAGGTTGAGGTTCTTGGCGAGCCCGATCGAATGCCCATGTTCCGTTCTAGCCTTCAACCCGTCATCACTAGTGACAAGGTGAATGTCTTACGTTGGAAGACGAGCAAAATTCAATCTTACCATGTGTTTCGTTACAGATCAAGTAAATTTAGGACCTATAAAGGTGCGATTGCGAGGCGTTCATGTCGACTGACTGGGCTTGCTCCTACGTCGGTACTGCCACGGCTCTCAATGAGCGGTTTGATATCGACTTAACCGCTACTCGACCCCCGAGAACCAATGTGCATCCACAATTGGCAGGTGTGCAAGAATTTTAATTACGAGGAAGACAGCGTTGAGATGACTGAGCTCATCACTGGCAGAATCAGGAGCGCCAAGCCGAAGAGCGAAGTATGCCTCTGGTGCCTGGGTTCGATAATGGCGACGAATGGAATGCCAGGGATGGCACTCATCGTGTGCCACCGCGACCAAAGCTCCGAAAAATACACCAGTCTGCGTTCGCACCTTGTTTGTCCGCACGCCACCTCCCTGTGCACAACTTGCCACCACCTTGAGCTCCTCCGATGGTCCATGAATCTAATTTTAATTTCCATGATGGTTTTGTTAGAGTATTGGACCGTAAGTAGACTGATTTTCTCTCGACACTTGCGCGCCACACAGTCATATACGCGTTGGCGATGTAGGCTGCATGGTCCAAACTGCCGTACTTAACAGCCAGCTTGACCTTGAAAACCCGCTCCGTGCACTCGGCTACCGTGCGGTATAGCTGCTTGTAAGCATACTGGTTCTCAGCTCTGACAAATAAGTAGGCCCATTGCACGAAATTCATGCTATAAATGTAATGGGCCTACTTTAAGCCCACTACTCCGGCTTACTCGTTAGCACACGTGTATGAGGAAGCGTAAGCTGCGTTTCACTTAGATTAACTATACTTTTGTCCGAAAGTATAGATCTACTTTAATAGGAACGCAAAGCCGATTTAACTGTTTGTTTGTTTGTTTGGGGTTTCCTCCTAATCTAATATTCAAAATGAAAGGTATTTATCAACGAATGATTGACAAAATCATATTATTTTAATTGGTTGAAGAAGTTGAAGATATTGACTTTCAACCAATGAATGCCTTGAATGCTGGCAGACCAACAGTCTGCCAAATGTAGTCATCGGTGTGTCTCACACCAATGTGGAAAACCTCTTTCGTAGCCAAGTGGCTATGTGTAGCCACTTGCGTGTAACACCGTTACCATTAACGTGCTTGTCGGTGTATCGGTTGCGATAGGTATAAAACGCCACTAGGATTTACAGACAACGACGGTGAAATCCGCCATACCATACAAATCCGCCACGAACACTTGAAGTTCAAAAATAAAAGATTTGAACAAGTTTTTATTTTAGCCAATGATAGAGTAAATTGAATCGACTGGTTCCTACGGGTAGCATATCACATATAGTTAGAATTTCTATCACTCTGGAAAGGGCGCCTCAGCGCTCCTATACAATTCTAACCAAGCGCGAAGCAATCGCGACTGCTGAGTCGTTAGGAAGCTGCCAAGCCGCATCAAAGAGACTAAATATCCCTCGCACGACTCTTCGCGACTGGCTAGACGATAAAGAGAACATCCAAGACTTTGCGGGTGCCCAAACCAGCAAAACCTTGAAGGGCCAGAGTGCAGCGCCGTTAATACACTTCTCTCACGATTTGGGAACCTTTATGAAGGATGTGCGACGAGAAGAATGGGTAAACCGCCTTCTTATTAATTTACTTTTTACATTGTGACCTAAAACCGCTTGTTGCTTAGTATTTGTACAGATTTACTGATTCAATATTTCAAAGAGCAGCAAACGCGATGGCTTCAAACGTATCTTGCTGGTAAGGAAAGCGGTGAGAAGGGTCTAAGTGCGTTTATGAGACTATGTCAGCGGTTTGGAATATCTTTTGATTTTGCTGATTTTATATAATTGCTTTATTAAATAGTGTGATAATCGTGGAGCTACTAACACATCCGGTTGGTCATGTATACTCAGTGCAGGAGAGCAGTTTTATGGATGCCAAAGTGTGGGCGATATATGTACGAGAGCTGCTCAAGTTCGAGATCGAGGCACTATCAGTGCTTATACTCGATAACTTCGACGCACATGTTTTAAAAGAAGGACTTGATGTTGTTGTCGAGACAACGTCGGCCCTGGTTTGCCAGCTACCGCCCAACAGTACAGCGGCCTGCCAGCCACTAGACGTTGAGGTTTTCAACTTTGCTTTTTGCTAATTAATTCGTTTTATCTACCAATAAAAATGTGCGACGGATTTTCCTGTCGCAAAAACAAAAAAAGAACTGCTATGGAGGATGGCTTTCAGAGGGTGGCGGATTTCACCGTCGTTGTCTGTACTTCCCTACAGTGCACATGTGAGATAATATAAAAATGAAAGATTATAAAAGTAGACCTGATAACCTTAGCATAACACTTGCGAAAGATTCGTATCATAGTATAGCCTCTAGGAGCGCAAAGACTCCGTCACTCCACTGCGTACAGTACATTGCGAAAGGCGCTGCGCGTAGTCGTAATGAGTCCGCATCACTTCTTCGGGGGGGGGGGGGGGTCATCGAAGCGGAGCTCAAAGCACTTCAGAAAAAGCATCTCGTTTTAAACACCAGCAGGCTCTACGCTCGTCGGGCTATCGAATTAAAAACCTTGCCTCGTCTAGGCACATCCTAAAGAGGCTCACTAGTACACGTCTGCGAAGGTCTCGAACTTTGTCGCTTCAGCAGCCTTGCTCATAAGGTATCTTCAGCGACTTTTGATCGTCGTTCAGGTTGGTAGATGCCGCAAGAGGTGCGCTTTGTCCTGGTACTTCATCTGCAGGCTGTTAAATATCGCCTGAGGACCGTTCGTGCCCATTGCAGCAGTACCCACTTCCACAGCGAAGGCCGGATGAAGACTTTCTTTATGTGTCCAATAAGCTCGCCCAAATAAGGCCCCTCACCTCGAGAACGAAGGGCGAAGCTTGTGAATGTGTCGCTCTAGACGTTTTGAATGCAGAAGAAGCGGACACATTTGTACGTGCCTACACACTCGCGTTTACCGTCGTGAAGGTCATGCACGCAGATGTGTGCGTCGTACAGTACCAAGGCAATCAACGCACTTAACTTCGAATCATGACCTGATACAACTGTGAACGCGGGAAGGCGGGAAATAGGCGAGAGACGCGGCATGCCCTGTACAAGGAGGATTGAGCGGCACGTTAGAATATCCATGGTAGGAAACATGGCAGCACAATCGTAGGAGGGGTTGGGCTGGGAGCACATACTGCAGCCTAAGGATTGGCCTTTGAGGCCAAGCAACGACACGCTCTTCGCTTTAGAAGATAGATAGTTTGGCACGCACAGTGGGGAGTGCGATGGCTCCGAAACGACAAGCTGCCGAAGCATCGGCTCATGATCTTCAACGGTTTCCCAGCTGTTCCATTCGATTGTGTACTCGGCGTCCTGCCGATTAAATCGGTAAATCCAAGTTCCTAGTCCCTTTTTTAAATTTGTGCTTAACCCCCCAAGCCCGAGGCCATTTGGTGCTCACCATCTCACACATACCTACACACGTTAAGGTTTATCCGCAAGATGGGCACCCATATTATACTCTATATATATTTTAACGTGTCTGTACTAAAGCCGGTCCATACCCCCAACCCCAAACTTTGCTATCGTGTCTTCCCCGCCTAAAGTGTCTTCCTAATACATGGTATATCTATTATTGTGTCTCCTGTACGCAAAGACGATACAGTACAAGCCTGATTTATTTGTCGATATTTAAAAAAAACAAACCAGCTGGACCACGTGAACTGTGCAGTATATTTAATGCAAGTCAAAAATCAGAGCCGGAGCCTGCCTAAACTACGTCATCACTTCTGCGGGATCACTTCTGGCGTGATGATCCGTCACTTCCAGATTCACCGCCCGACTTCTCGGAGCTCTCAGCATCACCTGCAGTCTCATCGGTAGGTCCCTTCGGCTTACGGGCACGAATCTTGCGTTTGTTCCGTGTCTGAGGGATCAATGTGCCGTTCTTCCAATGTTTAAGCCAGATCTCGAAGCACGATGCTGGAGCACCGTTCACGGAGTGCTTCACTTTGTTGCAAAGGAAGACTCGAGCTGCTAGAGCATTTTTAGAAGACGGTTTCAGCCTGCACTCACCGCAAAAGAAGGTAGTCTCACCCCCACGCAGCTCTCCATCGGCTTTGAGCACTGAGCACACCTTACAGGCGCGCTGACGGCGTTTTCGGGCTTGTGTGGCGCTCCCTTTACGCCACTCGTCGGTCTGAACAGGCACATGTCTGGCGACTTCTCGAGCTTTTGTCGGTGTCGCCTGGAGCCCTCGGCGGCGTAGCAGCTGCTGCCAGTCTTCAGGTTGAAGCTGGCACAACTCCAGGTGAAGCTGTTTGAGATATTGCACGTGTGATAGCTTTCGTTCACCATCTCTAACCCGCCGGCAATTGAAGACAATAAATGCATTGATAATTGCCAGATCAATAAGGCCTAGGAACAACGATTTGTAATTCTTTCTGTAGCGTCTTGCCAACTGCAACGAGTATCTACGGGGTGCATGTAACCGACACGATTAGCGGAAATGGTAAAGCTGTCTATACACGATAAGACAACTTACCTTTGAAGACGCAACTGGTCATGCACATCCACGCCGCCCATAAAGGTCTGGTAATCTTTTACCACTCTTGGTGCCATTACTTCCGCTTCCGAAGCCGTAATTGGGTCTCGTCGGACAATTCTGTCCTGTTGCGCACTTCCACCGGTTGCTAATACGTGCATTCCTTGCTTGTCGTACCACCGGATTGCTTTCATTGCAGGAACATGAACGGATGTCGCCACTTCGTACGTCCCTCTTTCGATATGTGCTGGCCGCTTGTTCGACGCTCGTCGGCCATTCTTCTGCTTTGCTGGTAGGATGGCCTCGCACAAGTCTTGCTTGTTCATCATAATCATTCCAACGATGTAGAAAGACATCGTAAGCAGTTGCATTGCAAGCACCACGGAGGTGTAAAACCGATCTGTTACAACCAGTCGAAAGTCGGAGGGTCCAGTGGGGCCAAATACATGCTGGAGATTCGCACCACTGCAGCAGGGCCGGATTTCTCGTCAGGTGGAGTGCTGTCGTCTTGCATTTGGCGTTTACCACAGTAAACCTCGAAACTGTATCAGACACGGTAAAGAAATCGTTAGCATGTAGCAGACACGTTAAGACAACTTTATAGCCAAAACAAAAACGCGCCCGAAGGTGCGTCACAAACGTACCGGATGCAATAAGCCGTCTCAGAACAGCACAGCATGAAGAGCTTAGTCCCCCATTTGTGAGGCTTATCTTTCATGTACACCCTCATGCGATTGAAAGCCGATCTTGAAGGAAGCATCGCTTCATCAAACGCCATGACCGGTGGCGGTACAAAGCTGCGCTGGAAAGTATGTTGCAGTACGATGATTACTGGCCGCAGCTTCCACGCGCGGTCCGTCGCTGCCTCAGGAGCATCATTGCGACTGAAATGCATGTTGCAGGAAAGATGAGCAAACCGATCTCGCTTCATATAATGGCCGAAGCACCCACGCGGAATTGCACCTTCGTCGGTAGTCTTCCAGTGGTGGTCAAATTTCTCCTTGTTCGGCGCAATTGTTCTGGCAATGAGTAGTCCAATAAAAATACAAAACTCTCTTCCAGATATGTCAGGTGTTGCCAATAAATTCTCCTTGTTTTGTTCTTGCGATTTCACTTCAAAATTGTTGTCCTTCCGGTGGCGGGCTTGTTGCTTTGCACGCTGTGCGCCAACACGCTTATCCAAATTGTGGAGGAAGTAGTCGTCACTAGCTCCGGCAATGTCTTCCCAAAGATGGGGAGGTGCAAACAAGAAGAATGACCCCAACGCGGTCGAGGCAGCGGAAAGGGCTTCTTCAGTAGGCCCGTGATCCCCGCTGTAAATATTGGGATAGTCCTTCGTAAGCCATGCATCAGTCCGAGCCTCGTACGGCTCGTCCATGTAGAGAAAAGGCAATTGGGTATCAGGTCCATTCCATCCATTGAGCTTCATGTCTTTAAGAATGTCCTTGTGTACACTACCGCGCGCAAGTGCTCCAACTCCGCCAACTGATTCAAGTAGAGATGGCTCGAAAAGTAAGTCAGGAGCAGCAGCAGAATCCTCCACGACGGCGTCGGCTTCTTCGAGGCCTAAGTCCTCATCATCATCGTAAATGGACATATTCTCATTGTCACCATCGGAATCCAGTGCTGCAAAATCTGCTGGATTATCTCCAGGCGCGATAATGCTTGGGTCATCTACATCCACATACACTATAAGAATCCATAACGTGTACCCTTAACGTGTATATACACCATAAGCTTACCCATCATCGTTCTGATTCCATATGCAACGCTGACGCTTGGTTGCACTTTTTCAGGTGGTATGGCGGCCGGTTGCCCTTCTTCACCTGGCATCGTGCTTTCTTTGTCGCTATCAGGCTCAGAGCAGGCATACTCTGAGCCAGATGTAGCAGCAGCATCGAATTCAGCATGTAAACTACAATTGGGATACTCGTCTGTACCTATAAGAGAGTGGTGTGTTAGCGTAAGCAGTAGCTCACAGGTACAAGCAATGTGCTCGACCTGCTTACCGTTTTCATCACCAACTGAATTGCCCAAATCACTCTCTGCCAGGTGTGGAGAGGTAGCCTGAATGTTCGGACAAACAGTCTTCGTCGTGACTGGATCTGGACTGACAGTTCGGTCAGCAACTATATACACGATAGCGTTAGAAGTATAACATGTACATACACAATAGGATCCAACGCACCATCTTGTCTATCAGGCACATCGGTTTCAGGCTGTCCACTTTCCGGAGTAGGTTGAGTCGCTGCTGCTTTTGCTTGTTGCTTCGCCGCGGTAGCTTTCTTCATCTCCTCTAGCAAAGCACACGTATTAGAGTCCACACAAAGACCTTGAAAGGCGATACTACTTACCCAAGGCGATACGGTCCAAATATACCATCAACGCAGCCTCTCCAACGAAAAGGTCCACGCCACGTACGTCCTTCTTCGTCTTCCCCGGCATAAGGTACGTGTAGTCGTTTGACAGGCCCGTAGGGGCCTTTGATTTCCATCCTTCCTTCAGAAGCTCTCGCCATCGGCCTCTGAACCCGGACATCTGAGCGGCAGCGGCGAAAATTCTCGAATGACCGAGATATGGGTGGCGCAGAATTCCACCTGCAATCCTCTAT